GCCCCACAGATGCTGTAGCACAGAGGGCAAGAAATCATGAGTGCCTGCTCGGGCGTCCCCTGACCCCAGAAAATCATCTCATCCATCCCCAGGGTGAGCTGAGAGGACACACCAAGGAAAGAAGGAGTTTGCATCCCTACCTGATCTGCACAATGCCAATGCTAGGAGTGGCTGGCATCCCCTCAAATTTAGGCGGGCGAATGCTCGCCCGCATGGAAGATGAAGCGCTGCTTTCACCAGCACCCGGTTACGAGGCGCTCTGGGGCCGGGGCTGAGCGCCGCAGTGGTCTCCCTCCCTGCCTCCCCACTTCCCCAGTGAAATCCGAAACGTGGCTATTTCTGCCACCGCTGACAAACACCGTCACCTTTCGCTCGCTCCCTCCCTCCCTCGCGGGTGACGGTGCAGCCCCGGGAGGGACCGCAGTGAATCATCGCCGGCGGCTCCCGAGCCCGCCGGTGGCAGCGGGGCCACCCACGCCAGCCCCGCGCTGTGCGGCGGGGACCGCAGCCCCAGCTGCAAGAGGGGCGGGGGGGCTGCATTGCATTCGGCTTTTGTTGGGAAAATGGGAATAAAGTACCAGGCACTGCAAGGCAGAAGAGAGGAGAGCTGGCTGGCTCTCAAACACCCCTATGCTATACCTGGGACCGCTGTGCAAAGAGGTAAAAGGGGAACTCCCTTCGGCTGGATGCTGTGTCCCAGTCTCTCTGCAGGATCACAGCTCTCTGGACATTGCAAGTCTGCTTTTCGTATGGAAAGAAACCAAGTAATCTTTGGATACAACCCAGCCAGCAGTTACGCTTCTCCAGTACACGATTTGATCCAACAATCCTCACATGCTTCCTGCCACCCTGGATGGCCCTTCTAGTTTTTCTTCAGGCTTGCAGCTCTTCTTTGGGTAAAATACAGAGTACTTCATTGCACGAGTGCATCTGCAGCTTGCCCCCAAGGGAATAAGGGCACGCTGATGGGAGCAAAGCGTTGCCAGTTTCAGCCAAGAGCTCTGCTCCCATTTCAGGGTGACAATTCACCCTCCTCCCTCGACGCCAGCACTGGCCACTTCGATCTTCCACAGGCAACACGTTCCAGAGCACAATCAAACCTATTGTGCAGCTTTAGAACAGTTTTTGCTTTAATCTGTTAGAGGGAACAGCACAAGGATTTTTATATCTAATCCAATAAATCTACACTGACATCTTGTGGAGATCCTGAGACCAAAATGCCACTGCCACTGGGCAGGGTGGGATTGACACTGTTGCCATGTCCTGCTGGACACTAGCACGGAGGCAGCTGGACTTTCCAAAGCAGCTGCAGCTGTCCCTGCAGTGAAAACCAGATCCTGCAGCCTCAGAAGTCATTGTTCTCAGTCCACAAACATAATTTTGAGTGATCCTCACAAGCCCAACTAAACGAGGGGCTTTTTTTTTTTTTTTATTTACTCTTAAATCTTTTTTTTTCCACAAACATAATTTTGAGTGATCCTCACAAGCCCAACTAAACGAAGACTATTTACTCTTAAATCCCCACTGAAAGCAATACTGTGGCCAATCTTATACAACTGCTGCTTCAGGATTCTCAAAGCACAAGCTTCTGATGAAGACTTATTTTCATGCTGAAATTTTATTATCTCCGTAAGTGCTGAAAAAAAATGGACCTAAGTAGCACTCAAGGACTCCTTTGGTGCTCCTCTTCATCTAAAAATACATGCATGGGTTAAGAAAAAACTGCCTGCAGTTTGGGAACCTGTGCAAGATTTTCCTCTATATTCACCCCATTCATTTAAGCCCCTCTTGCCAAGTCCAAAGGGTTTAATTAAGCCACTGCCTACTTTCTTCCAGTGCTCGGGAAAGTGTTCAAGGAGTACAAGCCTCCTGTTAGGCACAGGCCCCAGTAATGCTGCAGTGAAATTCCTTAGCGGGGTTAACACCAAGAGCTGGAATCCCAGCACAGATAATCTCACAATCCAACCATACAACTGCTCCTCCAGCTTTTTCTTACTACCATCTAGGCAGCAAATGCTCCATCTCCTCCAAGATGGCCAGAATCCCTCTGGAACTGCTGGGGTAGCACCAGACAGGTGGAAAATGGAGACTACTAGGACATAATAGAATGTGGAGAACAAGACTTTATACAGTGCGGCATCCAGGGGAAGCCATGACCACCATCCACAGTGCTGACAACAGCCACCACTGTCTCCAGCAATGAACCTTAAGCCTTTGGAACGCAGCCATCTCCACTCAACAAAAAATCCTCTGCTATGCACCCATTTAGTCACCTCAGAGGAAAAACTGTCACCCCAAAACTGCACATGGACAACGCTCCCCACAGTTATGGCTCTGGGCCAGTCTGCTCCATCTTCTTGCTTTTCTCAGGGCAGCGTCAACCCCAGCTCTTCACCAAAGCCAGACAACTTTCCTCTTCAGGAAGGCACAGCATTAGCAGCTGTGCTAATTACATTACAAGACCTCAGCTTCATGCATAAAGATGGAAATGGAAGAGTGCAAAATGTAACACCTGGCACAGATGCTAATGCTGAGCACATTAAGTTACCATGTAACCAGATATAAGAGGGGGGAAAACCAATCATCCCAAAAAAACCCCCAAATGACTCCAGAGTAGGAATCACTAGCTGCAACACTGGCTCCACTCTGAACAGCAGACAGCTTTTATCCTTTGAGATTCAAAAGAAATGGGGAATTTTCATGCTTGAAAGCGACTAATCTGTAACCAATGCTTGAAAAGGTAGCAAAGCCTATTACCAAGCAGTGTACACCCCAAAAATCCCCACACATAAAAGTCCTGCCACTTGGGCTCTCATAATTTGCCTTGAGCAGTCCCAGAAACCTCCATACATATGGGCAGCTAGGTCTGATTATTCAAATCCTGTTGCCTAGTATTAACTCTCAAATCTATATTTAAGCACCTAAGTAGGAATTACTACAGCTTTCTAAAGATCCTAAGCATCAAGAGCTCTTGTTAAGAGCTTACTCAAGTACTGACCTCCTAATGAATCTGTTCAAACTATAACATTCACCTCGTTCCCAGTGCAGTGAAATTCAGTACGTTCAGGCACTCCTGAACTTCTTCCAGCAAGAGCCGAGCTTGTGAGCATCCTGTCTTTCATATCAAAACACAGACTACAGGCAAATATACAAGAGGAGCTATTTCTAAAATCCTGCACTGACTTCAAAGTCACTGTACCTTGTTTTAGAAAAGGCTTGAAAACAGCAGGACGCAGGCTGTGCACTAGTTTGGTAGAAATTTGGGAACAGTATTTTTTTAACAAAACATATCTGGGCAATGAACCAAAAATTAAAACTATTATAGTATCATAGTACCAAATGGAGATGTTTTGATATAATTCTCACTCTCCATTTCAAAGCCAGGAAGCCTCTAAAAATTTCTGCGAAACTTGAATCTTGCTGTTCTTAAAGTCAGAAAGTCAAAAAGTTGCTTTTCCTTTTCCACAGCCTGAGCCTTTCCCTTTGCAAAGGGAAGGGCAAACTCACATCCTGGAGATGAGCAGAACACAGCAGAATATTCCAACTCATAGGAAAAGGCCAACTCTTCATTTTTCATTCTCTGTAATGTAACTCTCATTTTAAAAATCAATTTGCATACAAAGCCGGTGTTCTACCTTCAATCTATAACAAATTCTGTATTAATCCTCCTTCCTGCTCGAGTTACAAGGAAATGTGAGAAACAGACAGGAGTGTATTTATAGGGCCAATAGTTGCTACTGTGATTGGGGAGAACAAGGAAGAACACAAATATGCAGGGTTGGAAATGCTCAGTAAATTTAAGCAGGAAGATGATCACTCAGAATCCTGAATTATGGGTGAGTAGTTCTGGATGAAATTTTATAACTGAAGTAAAATACTTTGCAAGAGTTCAATAGATATGAAAGAGCATACACATTTAATTGGAATAAAGGATTATCTAGAAAACATGAAGCTGCTTCAGCAGCATCACAGCACTAGACAGAAAATAGCAGTGGCATCATGTAATCTGTAGGCAACAACTCTCCTTGTCAGGAATGCCAAGTCCTCTTTCTAGTCCTGCAGATGCAGAAGATAAGGTCTCAGCTCCAAGCCAAGCCATCAAAAAACTGCTTTCTCTAGTGAAACAGCACTTCATGGATTACTTGACATTCAGACCCTTTTTTAAACAATACTGATGGGAAGTTAGTCAAAAGTTCAGAATGGATGTACGGATGGCAGGACAATAACTTTAGAATCACAGAATGGTTTGGGTTGGAGGGAACCTTAGAAATTATCTAGTTCCAACCCCTCTTCCATGGGCAGGGACATTTTTCACCAGACCAGGTTGCTCCAAACCCCATCCTATGTAGGCTTGAACACTTTCAGGGATAGGGCATCCACAGCTTCTCTGGGAAACCTGTGCCAGTGCCCTACCACTCTCAAGGCGAAGAATTTCTCCCTAACATCTAATGTCAACCATACCTCTTACAGCTTAAAGCCATTGTTAGTGGCAACAATCCCAACAGCAAACCCTAAGGAACATCACTCCCTTGTTATCTTCTGTAACTCACCAGTGTTATGCTGTGCACACATTTCAGGAATACAACAGCCTTTCACTGAGAACATCAACCAAAAAGGATACCATTCAAATCACTCTGTGATTTACAAAAACTTACTAAAAACTTCAAAATGAACCAATAAATATAGTTACTGAAAGGGGGGGAGAAAGGATTAATACCATCCAAACACCAGTGTGGTTCATAAATCAGCAAAATGAAAGAATTTCAAGTTTTCCAAAATGGGAAAGATGATCCAACCTGTCAAGCTACAGTCCAGCTGTGAAGGGTGTAGGAAGTGGAATTAGACCTAGGATTTCGTATTGCTGAAAGACTAGTTTCAAATTTAGAAGACAACAGTTCCAATAAACTAAATTTTGAATGCACATTCTACAAAAGCCATACTTTTCAGTTCCTTCTTTTGCGGTCAAAAGTATCTACACGCACACAGACAGGCACATAACAAAAGATGACCTTTGAGTTTATTGTTTAAAATACAACTTTCAGGCCACATGATCACTATGCACTGATACTTAATGATTCTTCATTTCACAAGGGTAAGCACTTTCCCAAATCTCAAATCTCTTGAAGAAGTTCCTTCTTTTCCTCAAAATACTTCTGAAACCACTCAATATGTTCAACCTTCTGCTTAACACTGAGGTATGGGTTTTTCGAAAGCCCACAGATGACTAGTTCCATGAAGTGGCGGATAGGTCCTTCCTTGGGAAAGCCTTCGAGGTGTTTCTCCAGAAAGATATGTTCATGAAATTCAGCATCATCCTCCATCCCTAACAGAAAGACCAAGCAAAAAAGACACAGTTATTATATTATAATAGCAAGTTTAACAAAGTAAAAAATAATATAGTTCAAAAATAATCTTAAATTAGTAAAATTAATGGTTCTGCTTGCATTTCTAAGAATATGTAATATTTAAATCAAATTTCTGGCTTAAAATTTTTATAAAAGCCTGATGCTGGGGTGGAAGTAGGAGGAATAATTATAACTATAAATCAATCTTCTTGCTAAAATCCGGTTTATTCAATTCTTCAAAATTTTGATTCATCATTGGTACCACCTTTTAGATTGCAGGTATTTTCTTCATAAATTTTTAAAGAGAACACCGATTGCCTAAATTCTGCAGAGGATTAAAGAATACAAACTAGTATTGAACAATAAGGCAACCTCATAAAGTATCAAATACTGAACAGCTAACAAACACATGTCCATTGCAAGTCATGCTTTTAGCATCTTATTGCTATCAAATGGGCACAGAAATTTGTTTTCTGACATTTTCTGAATGTGTGAGTGTATGATGATGTAGAAGTGTTGTGTATCTCACCAGCTACTTTTAAGTCATAGCCAACACCAAAGATGATGCATTCAAAAGCATCCACAGGACACAGGACAAGGGATTATTGGAGATAGGGTAAACTTTTGTTCCTCATCCTGTAGATTTTTTTGCTGTTGTTCACACTGTGATGGTAGAGACTCAGAACACAAATTCCTACATAAAGAAAAAAGGCTGCTTTTGCTGTTTCTAATTTTAAGGGGAAAAAACCAAAAGGCAATCTGGGATTTGTAAAGAAAGATTTTTCTTCAGTTAGATATACATGAATTTTTTTATTTGATACCAATTGGCTTGCACCCATAAATAAAAATCTGTTATTAGAGAAAAATATTGCACTACTTCAAGATGACAAAAATGAGAAGCCTATACCACACACACTGAATATGGTGTACATGTTTTTCTAAGCTAGCTAGTTATGTTTTTCTATATTATTTGATAAAATTAAATCAGGAATATTAAAATTGAGGTAATTAAGCCACATAAGTTCTAGGCTTCCTTCTTTGGTAGAGCTTCTACAGTTTCAGAAGAAATTATTCACATCTCTGCAATGGAGAAGTCACTCAAATTGTATTTGTTAAGTTTGCATTACTTTTTTCCTGCTTTAAACTTCAGGTATTGCAATATCTGAAGAAGCTGAGAAATACCTGTATTTTATCTAGAATTACCTATATTAGCTAGAAATGTGTGAGTGCATGAATACCACAGTTGCACACCACATTTATCTCCGTGGTTCTTGAAAAAAGAAAGTGCATTTCCTTCTTCAGAAGCTCTCTCCTTGTTCCTTTATGTTGAAAGTTAAAATAACAAAAACCAGGTAATGTCAGTTTCAGAAAGTGTGTTTCTGCTGTGGTTGGAAAACTATGTCCACGGACAGAAGCAGTGATGATCCTTCCACTATCCACCCTTACTGGCTTTCCCCCACCAAGGGGAGGTGGAATCTTATTGTACCTGAATGCTACTGGTTGCTTTTCCAAACTAACAACCTTTCCAGACTTCCTTACTTTTTCTGGTCTCAAAAACCAAACAAACTCACTACTGAAACAATCTGCATAACGCTGACAGTAAAATTTGGCTTTCTGAATGCTCTTCTTCCAGATACAGGGTATCAGGAAAGATTTTGTCTAATAAATAATTTCACCAATTTTCATCCTTAACCCAAAATAAGCAATTTAGAATGTCACAAATATGCAGGTCAGAGATAAATATTACATTATGTATTCTGTCGTTTGTCAAAGACTGTACATGGTTTGGGGATGAAGTGTTAAGTCCAAATATTTCAGTTAGACCACGTATTTCAGTCCTCAAAAAAGTAAAGTGTGCATCACAGAAAAGGAGACCACAACTGTCCAAAGCCTCAGAGGCTGAAGCCTCTGGTGGGAACAGATTAGATGAGATAATGACTTCCCTCACTCCTAGCAAGCCCTGACTCCTGCTGCAAGCCTGTCCCTCTGCCTCTCTTGCACTGTCCTCAGAAATGTAATTTGAAACAATATGCATGGCAGAAGTCTAAATTAGAGAATTTTGTTTTTCGACATCAAAACAAGAAGACACCTACTCTCACTATTCTATTTCCAATCCCCTACATGCTACAAAAAGGGAAGTCTGGGGAATTCCTCTAGCTAAAACACTAATCCCTCCAAGACATAACCAACCTTGTCCTAAAGATGTCAATCCAAACACAGATGTTCATCCTTTATAGCAAGCATTGCTGACATGCTCTAAAGATGACTGAGTATTCAAATGTAGTGAAAAAATGTCCCTGTCCATGGCAGAGGATTTGGACTAAATGATCTTTAAAGGTCCCTTTCAACACAAAGTATTCTATCCTTTTAGGATTTTTAGAATGACATCAATCACTCTCTTCAGCAGGTCCCTTGAACAGAGATAGTAAAGAAACCCCAACACAGTGGTTGTGTAACTGTGCCAACTCTCTTGGCAAGATGATCCAATACTTCTCTGCTGGGAACAGCTAACCAGCAACTAGAACAGGACTTGGTGAACTTCCGCCCTGCAGAAGCCATCAGAGGCAACTGAGGAAATAATTTTCTTAGACCTTCCTATCACTTGTGCAGTAACAATCTCTAGCCCATCAAAAGCATTTGCTCCTCATAATGAGGTGCTAAGGCATATTCACACCTATAATCTGCTCTGTCCTTTCCAGCCTTTTGAGTCATTATGGCATAAATGCACAGAAATAATAAATGAGGCACAAATAAATGTATTTCCCAACTTTTTGCCACGGCAATCATGGAGCAGCATTAAAGCTACTTAGAAGCTGGAGAGACAAGCAGAAAGAAGGAGTGAGAACAATGTTATGCAAGCTGTACTAATGGTTTGCTAAACTGGTAAAAATTAATCAGAGGCTGGAGAGATGGAGAGGAAAAAAAAAAAGGTAATTTCACTGCCTAACAGTGACTTCAACTTCACTGGACAAGGGCAAGGGCATGCAGGTAAAATCAAACAACAAGGCAGTAAGGTGTGGGGAAGACAGCTGCTGGCCACTGTAGCAAGCCAGTATGTCTAGCCACACCTTCAGATGTTCACACCAAAATTATTTCAAAAACCATGACCCCATCCTGGTGCCACACAGCACAACACAGTGCCTTGGTGAAGCACTAATGAGAACACCAGAGATGCTTTGGAGCCAAGGAAAAGAGTTATAAGAGGTTGTCTTTTTTATATTTGGTTTAAAACTTTAAAAGCTTTCATAATGCTGAAAGTTGAGTATACATGCTTCCTCAACAGAAAATTTAATTGCACTTACATTTTTAAAGCCATATGTTTTTGGCATAGAAGAATAGTCAAACATTTCTGGATACAGAACAAGGTGAAGGAATCTCCTCCTATTGAGGGAAATGGCTGTTACAAAACTGCAAAATTAACAGCAGAAAGGGGCATCTTTCTTTTGCAGAGAAACCGAAATTACAGCATGTTGATATACTGGAGCAAGGTTCTCGAGCTTTTAACTGTGCTTTGACACACCTGAGGCGATTAACAGCCCGTGGCTGGCAGTCTGATAGGACGGATCTTACTGACTTGGTATTTCTACCTGAGAGGTGACAGGTTTTGGAAGGCTCCACGGGAATTTTCCACATGACTAGTCTTTGTGGACAAATCAATCAAGACTCTTGTTTTAACTCTATGTAAAGACTCTTTGTCCATCGACCGCCCCATCCCAGACAGCGCGGTTCCAGCCGCACGGCTGCAACGGGGAAACCACAGCCCGCCAAAGACACTTTGTCAACTGACGGCCCCAGACAGCAGGGTTCCAGCCACATTACAACAACACAAAAACCATTGGCCACAGTGGTTTTAAGCCTGCAAAAACATGACCAGAGTATACTTGGATTTCTACATGATGGAACATGATGGAACAGATCAATCCTGGGAGCAGTGATTAAATTCTGTGAAGAAACTGCCAAACAGGATGAGAATGAACATTAAGAAACAATGAAGCACATTATTCAATTTGCAACTCAGTATAGGACAGATTTTCAAAGACTCCCAGCTTCAGATACGAACCTGTTTTGCTCTCAGTGACTGAATCATTACAAAGCAGTTCTGTTTGATGTCTTTAGTCTTTAAAAAAACCCCAAAACCCACAGTCAAGCTCTCCCTGAAGTTATGAAGTCCCCTTTCCTATACTGCACACTGTGTAGTTGTTCTTCACTTCCTTAACATTCACTCTCTCTGCTGGCATAACTTCACACGGAGCTTTTTCTTTTTTTTATGGTAATAAAAGAAAATACTGTGCACAAAGATGCCTAATTAACATAGATGCCCAGGGTGAGTGAATATTGTGACTGTTTATTCTTATGAAACAGACAGAACAAAGGGAGCAAACAACTGTTTAACACTTGGCCTGCCCAGATATAGAACTGGCAGATAGCTGGCTGGGATCTGGCGAGACACTTGGTCCAAGAGCCACACCAAAGAACAGAATCAGCGTTATAAAACACGCACAGCAGTTTTAAGATTCCCCAACTTCTGCTAGGAGCTTAATTTAGAGAAGATGCAGAGTAAAAGGTGTTATGTAAGAAACTTGAGCAGCCTTTTCGTGTTAAACACATCATGGGGGGAGGGAGGGGAGGAGGGAAGGAGTCTTCCCCTTTTGGCAGTAGCCAGTCCTCAGATCAGCCAAACCACCTGCAAGACTTCACCTGAAGAGTGCCAGAATGAGTTCATCTGAAGCATCTCTGATCTGGGACAGTCAGGGAGTTATGTTTGTTTACTATCAAAAGCATGACTCACAGCTGAAACATTGTGTTAAAACAGTCAAAGGTCAAACATGCTCTAATTTTCAGAGAAGATAAACTGAAACAGATAATAAAAGCTCACATTGCACATACCAGCTTCATTGTCAATTGGGAACTCCCACAGTATTCCTTCTTTTGTCCACTGGATCATCTCCTCAAAACCGTTTCGGGGAGGCTGTGCAGTTACTGCTGCAACCTCCTTTGCAAACTCCAGATCCCAAATTGTTGGTGAAGGTACTAAAAAATAAATTTTGTTACGATCTGTCAGCAACCAAAGACTTCTCACTAGCTAAGACAAAGTCCTTCAAAATCAATCTTTACAGAGACTAATATCTTCAGCTGTGCAAACTTTTCTACCTTAGATACCAGCATCACCTTTCTCAAATGAGAATTCTCAGTTGACATGAAAGTTCATTAAGTTCTCAAATGTCTGATGAAAATCTATTCTGAACACCTAGGGGAATATTTATTTGTATGTCTTTCACATAAAGCAATAATTTATTTTTTCCACAATCATTCTTTGGTTTTGTCTTTCAAAAAATGTGGACACAGCAAATTCTGAACTTGACTGGTGTGCTGTGCTAAAGGACCTTTACTTCTACAGGAGTTTTCAGGTTCTTCACAACTACATTCTCCTCCAGGGAAACAACTCAAATCTACAAGGGATGGCAATTCCTTCCCCAATGCTCTTAAGTGTGCCAGTTTTTGTCTCTGAAGCTGAGAAACCATGATTTCTTATTCTTTTCACAAAGCTAAACAGTTCCTTTAGGGATGTATCTTTCCTTATGCCTTTTTTTATTTTTTTTAATCAAAGTGCACTCATATTGCAGCAGTTACTCTTCTTAAGGAGTTCCTGTCCCTCCACCCAGGAGAGCTGGTCACGAGCCCAGACTGAACAGCTTCGCTGAGCTGAAGGGAACAAGCTGTTACCACAGGACAGGGAGGGACCTCTGGGAGTGCCCTGGGCTGCTGTCGAGTGAGTTGGCCTAAGCTGCATTCCCCTTTGTTTTCCTGCCTCCCTCTGTTATCAATTCATCCTAAGATCCTTGGAACATAGATCTTTATGTGAATTTGAATGTTACAGTCCACTTGGAGTGGACCATAGCCAATAACCTATTATTTTACTACTCCTAAGTGTAAGTACTTGAGGCCAAGATATAATTTCAACTTCGACTCAGTGGCTTACAACTCAACAGAATTAAAAAAACAAAATCCCCCTCCCCTCCTTAAGACAAAACATAATTAAAGGGCAAACAGTATTTTTACATACAAAGAAGTGTTTTCAGAGGGTTTTTTTTTTGTGTTAAATCAGAATATAATTATTCCTTAAGAGGGAAATTTCCAGAACTATATTACCAGGCTGAGTACTTTGATTTGAGTGCTGGAGGCAGGAATAAAACACAGCTACAAGACAACATGAGAAACCATACCAGAATGAAATTATTGTCCACACCATAAAGAAACCAATAAATTCTCTAACAGAGGAAAGCAGAACCTCATTTTTCAAACTTGCAGTAGAGGTGATAAAGATTGTAATTTCACCTCATGAAACAGAAAATAATACTGGCATTTTATATTAACAGTTATGAAGAGTATTTTTAGGATGACAATTTCCTTTCCAGTTACCATTCAAGTTTTCAAAGTCAATACGCAATACTTGAAACAAAACTTTCTTTTCTGTTATGTAGTAAAAAATTTCACCCATTATCTTCTGTAATATGAACCAAGACAGTGAAAACAAATGAATCAAGGTATCAAGTACCACACTGGTATTTCCCGAGATTAATGCCCAAAAAAATGTTTGTCATCAGGCTTAGTCAGTAAGCTAAGTAATCAGCTTCCTGGTCTAGAATATACTGTAGAGTTCCTCAAAGCTACCTGGAATCAAACAAGGAAACAGCAAACAAAAAGCTGAAAGAAGCTTACTAATTAGCATCTAATTACAAATACAATAAAGTCCCCTTGCTCTCTGATACAATTTGCACACATTCCAGTTTTATGTTTAAAAAAATAAGTGCATCTCAGCTTTTACCTGGGGTGACTACTATGAGCCACTGTGTCTGCATTCTGTTCATGCAAAAAAGAAATCTTGTATTCTCACCATTTTACCTGAGTAAATTTGATTCAACTCAAAATCCATTTTTTCAACATCACTTTTGTTAAGACAGGTAAAAACAAACACTACATCATTCACTATGGTTTTTACATGTAAAATAGACCAATTTTAATGATATTGGCAGTCTTAAAACACAGCAAACTGAATCCCATTCTAATAAACAGCTTTCATAGAGGTGGCTGTATTCTGAAAGTTCACAGCTGCTTGAAAATATGCAAATGGCACTAATTGACATTTTACTAAAAAAATTAAGCAATCAAATTAATAGCTCCCTGTAGTTTCAAGTGTAAAAAAAAAAGATAAAAAACTACTCAGCTAGAATCTGTTAAAAACTTACACTTCTACTCTTGAAACAGAAACAAATACTCAGCATTTTGTAAGATTTTAGACAGGAGTACTATTTCTTCTGCTGCTGCTAACTTTACATGAAGGTCTAAGTCACTACACTGGAATAAAGTCTGTTTTTTAAAAGGGCCTCAGAATAGCTGAGGAAAAACAGCATTTTAAAGATCAATACTAACAATGCAGTCTCACTGTTCACAAAGAAAAGTGAGGGACAAAGTTCTTTACATGATCTGCCCATATTCACACACTCCTGGCCAACCCAGCCTGTAGTAAAGCCAAATCTTCATGAGTGAAAGCTATCCCTGTTAGGCAGCATTAAGACTGTTCCCACACAGCTGTGCCATTCAGTGACTATGAAGGTGTGTTACACCTGTTTTGAATTTAGTTTTGGTATCTTTTATCTCACATGAGTTTTGGCATGTCTATTTAGTGGATAAGGAAGTGGTTGGGTGATCACAACCAGATGGTCCAGGGTTCATGGACCATTCCAGGGCCGTATCCAGACCATGCATTCAATGGTCAAAAGCTCAATGCGTGGATGGACATCAGTGACAAAGTGGTGTTGCTCAGGAATCCACACGGAGACCAGTATTGCTCAGTGTCTTCCTCAACACCACAGACAGTGGGGCTGAGTGCACCCTCAGCACATTTGCAGGTGACACCAAGCTGAGTGGTGCAATTGACACACGTGAAGGACAGGATGCCATCCAGAGGGACTCAAGGGCAAACTCAAGGAAGTGGCCTCATGGAAACCTCATGAGGTTCAACAAGGCCAAGTGCAAGGTGCTGTACCTGGCTTGGGGCAACCTCCAGCATCTACACAGGCTCGTGAATGGACAGAGAGCAGTCCTGCTGAGATGGACATGGGGATACTGGTGGATAAAAAACTGGACATGAGCCAGCAATGTGCATCACAGCCCAGAAAGTCAACTAGAATCCTATAACAAAGCATGGCCAACAGGTTGAGAGAAGAGAGTCTTCCCCCCTGCTCTCATGAGACCCCACCAAGAATGCTGCAACCAGCTCTGGGGTCCTCATCACAGGAGGGACATGGACCTCTTGGAGAAGGTCCAGAGGAGGGCCATGAAGACGATTAGAGGGATGGAATATCCCTCCTAAGAGGAAAGGCTGAGAGAGCTGGGGTTATTACTCCTCATGGAGAACACAGGGCTCTAGGCTGACTTTATTCAATCCTTGTCAATACTAAAGGGGAGCTTGTAAGAAAGATTAAGACAGAATTTTTTGTAGGGCCTGTTGCAACAGGACAAGGAGTAGTGGTTTTAAACCAGAAGAGGGCAGATTCAGACTAGACAAAAGGAAGAAATTTTTTCAAATGAGGGTGGTGGAACAGGTTGTCCAGAAGGGTAGTAGATGCCCCATCTCTGGAAACATTCAAGGTCAGGTTGGGTGGGACTATGAGCAATGTGATCTAGCGGAAGAGGCACCTGCTCATTGTAGGGGGCTTGGAACCAGATAACCTCTAAAGATCCCTTCCAACCTAAACTTTCTATGATTCTAAACATATATAAAGAACTTTACAATAGGTGAAGCAAGGTGTCATTTGTCAGCTGCCACTGGGATCTTTCCAGCTCCATCTGGAACACTAAACAAAAGAAGGCCACACAGCAATCCAGTGTGTGGTCTTGGGTTGCTACTACCCTTCTTATACTTAGTCACCTGCAGGGCATGCTTGTTTCCTTTGGATCACAGCCTCACATTTCCTTGCAACTTGACAAAGTAAGCTGGAGCCAACATTCTCATCCTCCAGGCTGGCTTTACACTCACAGAATTAAGACTGACCTTTGTGACAAAAAGCCAGTTATGCCCTTCATGTTCACTAACAGAGTGCCCTGATCAGCACAGAAACCACTGCATTATACCGCATGGAAGTTTCACTTGGTAAAAATTTGAGCTACATCAAAGTAGTAATTTCTTTTATCAGGCTGAAAGCAGAAAGTGAGCAGGTCATGTCTCCTCATAAAAACAAATCTCTTGATATTCTAAAAATGCAGAATTTAGCCTCACTGCATTTTTCATTACTGAATTTCCACTAACCTGTTTTCAGTGCTTCCTCTGGTTCTGTAGAAGCCTTAGTGAATATATTAAGCCTCTTTCCTACTTTGAGACTTCTATAAACAAAAAAAGAAAACCGATATTTAGTATTTCACAACACCTTACAACATTGCCAGATACCAAATTAAAAAGCACAAAATATTTTCATGAACTAACAGATCTCTGGAGACAAAAAAAAAAAATAGTGATTCTCACTAAATCTTCAGGCTTTTAATCAGAGCGTGTTTATGGCTTTACTATTTGTCTTAAACAGAGCTTCTCAAAACATTTTCATGTGAAAGAAGGAGCCTAAATCAAGAACTATATTTGCAGTCACTTTTAACTGGAATATTTAGGAGTCTGAACAAAGGTAAATAGCATCAAACCACAGTACTTAAGTGATTTTACAAAGTTGCGAATATCTGAAGACTTGGGTTTTTCCCCTGTAAAAAAATATTGCACAATTCAGGAACAAAAAAGGCAACAGCTAAATCAAGTAATTCCTGCTTTATGACATAAATAGCCCTTTTGGAAGATCACACAGCCACCTTCTCTGCCATACAGCAAACAGTCAGAGTATATCCATATGATATATTTTCAATAGCATCACTCTGGTGCTCACTCTTCTGAATATACAAATGTTTCACTCTGACCATCTATTTTCAATCACATTTATCATTACCATAGGCTTATACTAAAAAAAAAAAAAAAAAAGGAAAATTAAAAATAGACGAGTTCAACAAGTAATCAAATTCTTATAGATGAAAACAAAAACCCCCACCATCTTTTAGCATCAACTATGTTTTTAATCGTATTATCTTATAGATTTCCACTGAAATTCCAACAGTTCTCTCATTTTGTTATTACATATCCAATGTTAGCCTGGCAAGATTTATCCTTTCTGACCTTAAAATTCTACTCTTCTGAATTTACTGGAGATTTCTAATGGCCTCAACTACTTCTGCAAACCTGCTCTTGTCATATTACTTTTTAGTGATGAAACTACCCTGGAGCTATTTCAGCACACAATAATCTAGTTACAGAGCCTTGAAAGAATGTTGATTCAGGACTGTATTTTCCTATCTGTGTAACTCCCAATGACATTGGCCAAAGATACATTGCATGTGTTGGAAGAAAGTTTATTTTAAAATTACAAGTTTAAATTACTATAAAGCAACATCACCCATTTCATTGCAATATACTAACTTGACTTAAATTTAGGTATTCTTCCTAACCCATTCTTTTCCTACTATCAGTTGATAAGCAAATCCATTAGATATTCAGGTATGCAGGAGGGAACTTAGGCCTGAAACTGGAGACAGTTTACTCACTACAGGGATTTTAAAAATTATTTTAAGGTGCTGTTTCTGAAGTTATATACCAAGCACAGTTCCACCACACACAGAATACTGCACATCTACTCACCCCTGAACTCATGCTTTTCTTTTCCTTTGTTACCCAAATTCTGTGTTCACCATGATCAATCTAAACACAAATGATTCCCCCAATTTTCAGGCCCTAACCGCAAAAAACGGGGATTATTTGCAAAGTAAATCAAATACAAGAGAAGTTAATCGTACTAAAAAACTGCTAGGGAAAGAATACATGGAGAAGGAATGCAATTATGAGCTGTCATGGGAAAATCCAAAGACTACAGGCAAAAAAAGCACAGCTTACAGGAATAAACCCAAAATGTAAGAGCATTCCTTAATTCACAAGAGTGGCTACATAATACAGCAGCAAAATAAACTTAAGGAGTAGCCTGAAATCACATGTAAATCATGAAGCTAATTTCATAGACAATTTTAACATCACAGTTGATAAAGAAATCAATTACAGAATGTAGTAGTAATAAATAAATAAATAAATAAACCAACTTTAATATATCTTTAAAATCCCAAGAGAATGGATGAAACTTTTCTAAGCATAGAACATTATCAAGTTTTGTAGCGGAGGAAAGCAATCTTTCAAAATCTCTGTTTCCCAAGAAGTTAAGAAAGTGACATGATATTGTATTATGCATAGGTCAAAATAATTTGAACTAGTTAAAACAAGAACAATTACATTTCAGCACCAAGCATGCTTAATTATCTAAAATGTAATATTAAGAAAATGCACATTACTTCATTAGCTGGTTGCCATTAACTATCTTGTTCTCACAATTTATTTCAATGCTAACCGTACTTACCTTGAAAAATACTTAAGTAATTTCTTTAAGCTCTGAAGTACTGCAACATTAATATGTACAAGTAAATTTAAAGTATTATCCATCAGTAACTGCATGCTCCTTCTATTGGAGGTGAACACCACAGAAATACCTTCTGGAGTCCATAGACTGAGCTGATGACCTTTCAGGCCTTATCCTTCGACCATCCTCATCCAACTGCAAGGAAATGCGACTGGATAGCCTCACACCCCACTGGTCTCGAGACTGCCTTTTAACCATCATTTCTGAAATAACGTTGCTGAAATGAAAAACATGAAATGTAAAAACTCAACAGATTGACAAAGCAAGGAAGTTTGTCATATGTGTTAACTAGAAACTCTATTCTCAACTGGTTTCATAAGCTTCTGTGAGACAGAATTTTACATTCCTCACAGAATACACCCATCTTTAATCCATCAAACATTCAAAGCTGTTGTTGTTTTAAACCATTTGTTACATTCTATGTATAAAAGTGCTACTTTAGCCTATTAAATCTACAGTGAATGCTTTCTTTTAAATTATTTCAACTAAAAAAAAAATCATACATCTGTATACCAATATTCACAGAATGTAATAGGCATGTTTTGCTTAATCAAATGGGGAATTTCTCTGGATATAAAAAATAGGTTGAAATAGGGAGATAAAAATCACCATTTTTTTGGACAGGAACCAACACTGCCCAGGGACAGATCTGTGCTGCTGCAGACCAAAAGGAAGCTTGCCTTCACACATCAGCTGACATGGGCCAATCATGCCACCCTAATAAGTAGGTCACCTTTCCTGATCCACTGCAATCTGTTGCATTGCATAATCATATTACAGCATTAACAGACCACATCTTCCTTCGTCACTCTGGAGTGAAAATCAAACGTGAAGAGCAAATGCTCTCGTCTCCTCCAGCACCATACACAGCTCACAAAGGGCAAATCACAGCCCCTTTCCGCCCCTGCCTGTGAGCTCCCTTCACTGGCAACTCCACTGGCTGGGAAAGGCCGAGCTGCTAACTCTTCCTCACAGCCTCCTCTCCACCCAACCACTTCCAGTCACACACAGTTATCCCAAATTGCAGCACTTAAGTTTCAAGATATAAATATGGTCTCAAAAAATAAAAATAGGCCAAGTCAAAAATACTGCATTACCTATTTTATGAAAATCCGAATGAAATTCAAACTATGCTTTTGGCAGCTTAAGTCAACAGAGATTTTACTGACAAGAAAGAAATACTTCTGGAAAATTGTAAAAGCTAATTGCCACAGAAACACAGCATGATTTCTCTTCAGTCTTAGATGTGGTTTCAAATGGCAGAACAAGAACAGCATAGCTCTTCCAGTACCTACTCTGAAATAAAGGCATCTGACAACAAGTTTGAAATAATTTCATTTTAATTTTAAATAAAAAGCAATCTCCGATTAGTTGCATATCTCACATTAGAAATTACTCTGTGAAGTGGCTGCTGGCATTAGTGAGCTGGTGTTGGGCCAGAGGCTTGACACACTTACAAGGGTCAAAGGGACATAATTCCTAAGGTCAGCCACACACAGCCCAGCCCAACAGCTTGACTCAGCTGTGACCTAAAAGGCTGGTGTTTTCCCGTGCTTCAGGGAAGTCAGGATTGCTCAGAGCTGCTCTCCTTCCTGAATCATGTTCCTTGCTAAGAAATCCTAATGTCACCCCACCATCAGCATATGAACATTTCTGGCAGCAACATTCACCACTCCATCATGAAAAGTGCACCTGTACTAACAAAAGTAGAACCACAAAGACTTTTTAATACCTTTTGAAACAAAAAATATTGGTTTAAAAAGTCACACTCCAACCCCAGTGTACCCATAGCAGTTAGATATTATATATTCCCTCGTTCCAACACAACATTAAAAACTGAAGTTCCTACATACACCTGCCTTCCAGAGATGGGAAGTGGTAGGACTTTTGTAGCAACCACACACACTCTCTCTCTTTCCTGATTGTATATACTTAAAAAGGAGACCCAAGGAGCTTGGGATATATTCTAGCCAAAGCTCTGAATTACTTTTCTTGTTCATCCAAAACAGAAGCTGAAATTGTAGGGCTGCAGATTTTATTTTGGTGCAGCACTGTTGTGATTTCCATTGAGTGAAACTTCAGCCCACACTGAGGAAAATAAATTCCTGTACCGTTAATATTTTTCCCTCCTAGTGCATGCCCTGTCCCTGTACTTTCTACAAGGCAATGAGATGACTGCATACAACAGTGACCTCTGGAGGTCTTGCCACAGTCCTGGTAAAAAAAAATTTGCACAAAAGATCTGGACAGCATACAACAAATTTCATATTATAAATCACAATAGCAGTATTCAGTTTTTTGCAGTTCTGCACTATGTAGCTCTACTGCTTGTGAAAGTATCTTGCTTTTAAATATTGTAAATAACTGAGGAATATATATTGGCTTTTAAAATATGTAAGTATATTGAATGCAAAACCTTTACAGAAAAAAAGGGGAAAAGTTAAATTGCATGTATTCTCTTACTGTCAAATAAAACTCAACACAAAATAATCATGCATGAACAAAAGTGAATGCTTTCTAACACATTAAAAACATCTTCACGCATTGTGTGGATTGAGGTATCATGGAGCATAAATCACACCAAATCAAGTCTGAGGCTGCTGGGCTTTGTAAAATCAACATTTTTAAACACTAGTCAGAAACCTGAGAGTACTATATTTATCTCAAAGAACTAAGAGGTCCATACTAACTCTAAAGTTACTAAAACCAAATTTTTTGTCATGAAAATCAGCACAAATACCTGGTCTTTCTTGAAAACTCACCCACTGATAAAGAATTTCTGCTACCTAACTCTTAAGTAAGAAAACTAAAACTTTCCAGCAAATAGCGGCAGCAGGAGGAGTGCATTTGCTGGGAGAAACAAGCTAGGTCACAAAGATGCCTCAGGGAATAGAACTTGCCAACTCAGAGCACAGCAAGCCAGCCATGACATTCCAAAAATGCTGGTTCTGGTTGAAGAAAATGCATTTTTCTAATGAGACCACTTCATCCACAAGCACGTAATAAAATATTGTAACATCACATCTTAACTGTCCAATCAAAAATATAGAGGCACTATATAGCTGCAGATTTTAAATTTCTATAGAATTTAAACTCTCTTTCAAGAGAAAAAAAAAAAAACATTTTTGCTTTGACTACGACTTTCTTAGTCACTGTCTTTCTTCCACTGCAGCCAGAGCTGGGTCAGTGCTTCAGGAAAAGTGCTGTAGGTGATGAGAGAAAGAGAGCCTGTGATGCCAGCAGGCAGAGCAACCACACCTGGACAAGAGCACGTGCACCCTAAGGAAGGGAGACCGGCACTTTCCAGGCTGGGCACTGCATGCGTTAGCTCACTCAATACTTCTGTGGGCCTCCAGCATCTTGGGTACTCAAGAAGGTTTGAATTAATTTAAGTTGGTCACCCACAGCCCATGACACTGTTAAAACATTCGTGTACTCTGCCTTTCTAAAGAACTCGGTGACAGAGAGTAACAAACTCCCTGGTAATTAACAATTTAATGAACATATGCTCTATATAAATAGTCCTTATATGTGAAGAACAGATATTTTGCTTAACGAAGTTCTTCACTGAGCGTTGTACACCCCAGCCTGTGCAATCATCTAACTCAACCTGTTTGCAAGCATCTGTCTCTTTCTTCCTTAATTTCCACTCAGGCAGGCATCAGCCACAGACACCACTAGCTTTTTTTGCAGAACACTGACAATCATTCCAGCAGACCCTTTGCTGACACCTACAAGTAGAAATACATGTAACCTACAGATGATAATAGATGGGTCAAGTTTAGATTCTTGGCTGGGGCAAATTCATTTTCACAGAATAAAACAGATAAGCAGCTTGCAGTTCACACTGCAAACAAACATAAAGAAAGATTTCAAACATAAAGATCCGATTTCCTGTTGTTCAGCATTTCACCTGGATTTAATGCCTTATTTTCTGAGCAGGTATTTGAATACTAGTTGAAAAAAACAAAAAAAAACAGAAAAAAATTGCCTTTAACCATCATCCAAAAGAGCTGTATGCACAACTGTTTGAGTTTCCAAACAAATGTTTCTCATCTGTTTGAAAGCCACACTGGAAACAGAGTTAAGCCAAGAGATGAGTTTCATGCGTTGACTGGAAAGTTTTGAAAGGAAGGGTGGGGCTATAAACAGAGCTGCACTAGTTCAGTTCTGCAGAGCTGTCATGAAAATTCACCAGTCCAGACAGAACGTCTGAAACATCTACAAATCCATCCATTGTGTGAGAATTCTGGAAGCTTGTGGCAAAAAAAAAAAAAAAAACCAAACTCACAAAAAGAGCTGTTATTTTGCTAGCCTGTCCAAGAAAGCAATGATCCTGGGAATGAAAGCAATAATTCTGTTTCTGCAAAACCACTTTAGAAAGATGATGGCAAAATTTAGAGAGTTTGGTATAACCAGATCAATGATGTTACCAATATCCATTAATCCTAAGGATACACTGTCCAAAGGTATCTTTCAGGGGCACCTTCCCAACACAGAAGGCAGTCACCTTCAGGATGACATTGCAAAATAGGAATTTCTGACGTAATTGAGAAAAACAATCAATACACAGACCGTATGTTAACAGTTCCCCCCTTCTTCTGTTTATCTGTGGTTTCCTCATGTCTTCTCAGTTGAGCAAGGAGTTCTGATTCTGTCTGCTTCTTGTCGCGTGGAAGGGAAGATGCAACTGCAGAAGCAGCCTTCACCAGGTCTGGATTTAAAGGCTTGCCTCTGTAAACAGAGACACAACAGATACAGAAACAAAGCCTTTAATATATTTAAATTGACATTTCTGTGCTGCCATTTTATATCTTAATAACCCAAAAGCTAGTCAGGTATTTTCCCAAATGGGGGTGGCCATTGGGACAGGCAGGCTTGCCCTAATTATCAAATGCTGAAGGACTCTGACAAGCTCCTGTTCCCCAGCCTGGGGAAATGGCAGCCCTGTGCCACCGCACAGCCTGGAGACCACTGGCAGCACAGACCTGTGGGATGATAAATATGATGTAACACACTGTGGACAGGAGCAGCTCCAAAGACTCAACAATCATTACGCCATTCTTAATTTTTTTTCTTTTTCCTCAGTTTTGCTGTATTTTATCTGAACAATATTTCCCTTCTCCCGTTAAAATAACTTTCCACAGGCAGGTGCTAGTGCTACCTTTCCACAATCTCACTGCAGAAAAAGGCAGCATAAGGTTGACAGCATACAGCACCTTTTGCTCAGATTCTCCCGTGATTTACTCCAGTCCACAAGTCTGCACCACATTCCCTTACAGGATTATTTTCTACTGTTGGAAATGGTTTATTTTGTCCTAAACAACGAAAAAATAAAGTTGAAGTAAGGATAAAACAGGCTAAGAAAAGTTTGTTATACTTTACCGTTGAGCATCTTCTGTAATTCCCTCAGGCACAGAACCTTCACTGTGCAGGCCTTCCAGTTTTTTCACGGCTTGCTTCTCACTGGCTTTTAATTGTTGGAGTTTCTTCCTGTAGCTCACTTCCACTTTCATATTACCAATAATGTCTAACAGCTGCTGCTTTGGTGTTTCTGCTCCATCCACCTGCCTCTTTGCTGCCCCTTCAGGTGTGCTGTCTTTGGAAGCAGCAGATTCATCTTTGTCTTTAGAAAGCACGCTGCTTGTGCTGAAGAGTTCCTGTTTGCTACATGATACACAAAGGTAGGAAGCAGAAGTTAAAAATAGGGTCCAAGGCTGAATTTTGTAAACCTACCAAAAACCCCAAAACAACAGTTACAACTGTCTAGGCCCAGCTGAGTGCAACCTGAGTATGTTAAGTACATGTCAAACATGCGTCTTTTGACTTTTTGAGAAGGGTTGGGACACCATTTCAAACTCTTGATTACTTATGATTTCTTCATCACAAACACAAAGTAAACAACTTTACACACCATTTATTTGCGGAGGAAATAATACAAGAACTTGGAACTTTTAAAGTATTTCTGAATTAGGTAGCAGAGAGAGTTTGAATTTACTGGTACCTGATACTTCAATTCACTGGTATTACAGACAACTCACTGAAACTCTTAATGAATCAATAAAGAGATCACTCCCTGAAAAAAGACTGTACACACATAACTTCACATGTTTTCACATTTGTGGCACAACTACAGATCACATTCCCCTACTCTGCAACACGGATTCTGCTACAAGTTAACCTAGAAACAAACAGGAAAGTTATTTGGGTTATAGCTCCTCTACTTAGTTAAGCACATCACTGCAAAGAAGCTGAAACTGACACAGTGCAGCCGAGGATACGAAGCCAGGGACAGCAAGGAGCTGGTCAGGAGATTCTGCAACACAGACACAGCTGCATTCTCTAGAAAAACTATCATAAAATTCAAAGAGCCATTCTCTATAACATTCTAAAATGCAGTGTTTAAACCTTTACATTCACACCTAATTTGTTTAAAAATCACCCTCAAGTTACAGAAATAAACAAATTCGCATTTATTCTGATTCAAAATAAAAAACTTCAATAGATCTTAAAACACTTCAATAAATCTGAAGGAATTGTGGCATAACTTTTCTCCTCAGACACATCTCTCTCTGGCTAAAAGGAAAATCTGCCAGTCTCAGCAGGCATCACATTTTGGTCACTCTGCACTTGATGCACTGTCAGCATTAAAACCTAAATTCCAATGTTGAAAAGCAACAGAAAAATTTAAGGAAAGCTTCAGAACCTCATTACTGAGAAGATGGTATGAGCTCTGCTGTTTTACACTGCACTGCTCCCCACAGTCCTTGACAAAGTCCTTTTTTGTTATTTCAGGCGGCATGTTCCTGAAAACTATGTAACCACTCGGAAATCACAGAAAGCTAAAGGGTTGGAAGGGACCTTAAAGACCACCTAGCACTAATATTCCCTGCCATAGGCAAGGCCACCTTCCACTAGACTGGGTCACTCAAGGCCTTGAAAACTGCCAGGGCTGGGGCATCCACAACTTCCCTGGGCAACCTGGTCCAGCATCTCACAACCCTCAAGCACAAGCATTTCTTTGTAATACCAAACCTAAATTTCCCCTCTTTCCATTTGCACCCATTACTCCTGATGTAATTTGTACTCATGTTCCTGAAGAAAAGTCTCTCCAGCTTCCCTGCAGGCCTCCTTCAGACACTGGAAGGTTGCTATGAGGTCTCCATGCAACCTTCTCTTCTCCAGGCCGAACAGCTCCAACCTTCTCAGCCTTATCTTAGCCTACAGCAGCAGCAAAGCACAGCAAGGCTGAAAGCCTCAGGCACTTAAAGCCAGCAGCACGCTGCAGTTTGCATCCCTGTATTTCACCTACCATCCAGTTTGCCTTCTCTGGGGAGCCTGGCCTCGGGAAGCAAACACAGCTACCGAAGAACCCGAGCTGCTTTGTACATGAGGCCATCACAGCACCGGTGCTTGCTCAAAAATATCGAGGAGTTTTGAAATTTAAAAAAAAAAAAAAAAATGAAGGCACAACTGAGCTGTCATTAAAAGCAACTTAAAATATTTTAGTAAAAACGAAGAAGAACTCTCAAATACTGCTCTTAGCCCGTGCTTTGTGCAGAAACAACAACGCCCAACAGGCAGCGCCGCTCTGCTGGTACAGGGTGCAAAACTACGGTCAGGTCACACGTGCGGATCATTCAACATGGGAAGGACGGCAAGGACAGCACCACGAGAAACACGGCCCACGCCACTCCCCTCCACCCGCCTCCATTCCCCGCCGCCTTCTGCCCACACCGCCACCCAGCCCCGGCCGGACAGTGAGCCCCGTCCCGCTGAAGGCCGCGCCCCGGGGCACGGCCAGGCCTCACGGCAATGCCCGGCCGGCGCCGGCCCCGTCCGGCAGGTGAGGGTGCGGGGAAGGCGGTACCTGCGGGCCCTGCCGTGCGGCCGCGCGCCGCCGCCGCCCCGCACGCGGCCCCACATCGCAGCACCGCCGCCGCCGCCGCGCTCCCCGGCACGCCGGCCCGCAACAGCAGCCGCGCACGGGCGTTCCGCGCAGCAGCGTTCCGCCCGGCTCCGCCCCGCAGCCGCTCCCGGGCAGGGCCGGCCCGGCTGGACGTTCGGGACCGGACGTTCCCTGGGAGCTTGGCTGCTCGCCGCCAGGAGCTCAGGTGTTAGGAGAGCAGGTCGAGGGAAGTGATCCTGCTCTGCTCAGCCCTGCTGAGGCCATATCTGCAGTGCTGTGCCCGGCTCTGCTCAGCCCTGCTGAGGCCATATCTGCAGTGCTGTGCCCGGCTCTAGGCTCCTCTGTGCATGGCATTAGATTAAGGCTCACATCTTTCTGAAACGTGCTTCAAAAGTGTCCCCAGGCCTTCACGTCATTAGTGCCATCTATCCTGGCAAGGCCAGCACGGTCCCACCTCTACAGCTGACTGTAGTACATCAGTACACACACCAGTGTCACCCGCAGAGGGCCTGACCTGCAGAAGCCATCCCACTTTTCCTCCATGTGGAGCTGTCCTGCCTGACCCACCTCTCCAGTGTGAACAACATCCACTGCAAGGTGCTGAGGGAGTTCTGATGTTTCTGCAGCTCTGTTCTGGGACAATACTTGCCAAGATCTGCCGTTCATGCTCCTGGACAATGATTGTTTCCATATGAATTAGGAAGTGCCAACTGGCTTACAGGGGCAAATGGTTTGCCTGTGGTTGGCTGGAGATGGTGTAGGGCCCAGGAGATAGCTTTGGACTGCAGAGTGGACAGAAACACAGCCTGCAAAGGAACCCTTTCCTCTCCCACTTCAGACAAGTTTCCATGGCATCCCCCTGTCAGCTTCCCAGAGGTCACCCATCCCTCCATGCCAAAATACTCTGTGTAAGAGGAGTTGTGCTGCCCTGTCACACAGTGGACCGTCGCATCCCAAAGCCAATCACACATACCCCAAGCCATACCCCTTGAATGCCAGAAAGCGCTTCCACGTTCCTGCAAAGCTCTTACGAGTTAAGGTCTGTGCTCACATATCCCATTTCTGTCCTGCCTAAATCCTTTGAGGGGAAGCTTGAGGTTAAACTCCAAACAAATTGATACCTCATCTTAGGAGAGTCTCTCGGGAGTCATGGCAGTTCTTCCATGGTCTCCCTAGACACACCAAGTAGTGTTACTTCAGGGAATGCAATTCCTACATAAATTCTTCCTTAAAACAAAACAAGTGCTCCACAACAGCACAAAAAGCAGGGTTTGGCTGAGCAGCCGCGGGTGCAGGCACCAGAAAAAGCCACGTGGTGGCGATATGCTCGTGGAAGTGCCGCATTCCAGGGTTGTAAAAGGTCCCCGGCAACATTTCAAGGGCTGTCGCCGTCTCCACATTTTCTACAGGGACCAGATAAGAGCAGATCAGGCCTGGGGGTGTGCCCGAGGAACGTGGCTATGAAGGAGCAGCCCGAGATGCTCGAGGCCTGATGTTCCAGCTGGCAAACGGCTATGGCAGGCAGCACGTGGTTTAATGGCATCTAAATCGCAAGCTTCACTGCCTTAGGGGTTCAGGTGGCTTTCACCAGCTGCATCTTCCAACAGTGCTGCTAAACAAGAAGCCAGCCAGGTCAAAATTCTTTGCAATGAAACAGTAATCTCTTAGTATTGCGGATTATTTGGGATGCGCAATTAACTCCAAATCACTAATTACAAAACACTCAGCAATTGTATTATTAATTTATTTTTACATTTTAAAAAGAAATTACAATACAATTTCTAAAACCATTTATAACTTAGGCTGCTCTTTCTTAACAATTGCCACACCTGCAGTACTGCATCTAGCTCTGGGGTTGTAAGCACAGGAAGGACATTGACCTGTTGGAGCAAGTCCAGAGGAGGAACACCAAGTTGATTAAAGGGCTGGGGCATCTCCCCGACAAGGAAAGGAGGAGAGAATTAAGATTGTTCAGCCTGGAAAAGAGAAGGCTTCAGGGTGACCAAAATGCAGCCTTCCAGTACCTGAAGGGAGCCAATGAGAGAGCTGGACAGTGGCTTCAAAGTCAGAGTAGGTTTAGATTAGTTGTTACAAAGGAATTTGCCTCTGTGAGGATGGTAAGGCACTGAAACAGTTGCCCAGAGAAGCTGTGGATGCCCCATGACTGGAAGTGTTCGAGGGCGGGTTGGATGAAACTGAGCAACTCAGTCTAGTGAAAGGTGTCCCTGCCCATGGCAGGGGGTTCGGAACTAGATGGTCTTTAAGCTCCCTTCCAACCAATATGTTGCGTAAACATATAAGAAAATAAAATCTGAATCCTGCAATTAATTAAAAGTGATGGGAAAAAAAGATTTATTAAAGTTTATAGTTTTGTTTATGCTGTGTTTTCCTTGGTTTGAGCTGTGAAAGTAGGAGCAATTAACTTGTTTTATTTGGTGGAAAACACATGGATCTAAGATCAAATACGTAGGTCTGCGTGTCTCAACCCACGCAAACACATGTGCAGCTCAACAGGGATTATAGTGTTCCCAGAAACACTGCCTGGTCTGGCAGAGCATCTCAAATATGACTGATCACTGGTACACATTATGGCTGCTGTTCATTTACCTTGCCACAAACTGTGCAGTGCCCTACTGCTTTCAACCGGACATTGTTCCTGATAAGCCTTACTGCAAGCACTTCAGGTGCAAATCAAAAGGGGGGAAAAATCAAAAGGAAAAAGAAAAGTGTTGTGTAGTTGCAGCTGAGAAAAGCTCAACTATTACCCCTCGCCACAGTGGCTTAGGTCATTGTATGCCACCTCGGAGTCCCGAAAAGCCAGGATCACGAAAGTGACGGCTTAGGAAAGTGTTTCGGGACTCACGGCAGTTCCTCTGTATACACACACTGTTGCTGTTTCAGGGTACACAGTTCCTAAACAAATCCTTTAAAACAAAACAAAACAAAACAAAACAAAACAAAACAAAACAAAACAAAACAAAACAAAAAGCCCAACAAAAATATCACCCAACTAGAAGAAAAATAAACAAACATACATCTAAAAAAAAAACCCAAGAAATTTTTTTTAAATTGGTTTTAATTCATAAATTCGGTGGCATCCTGCTCAGTAAGCCGAAACACAGCCCAGCCCCAGCTTAAACAGAGCCCAGCCCCGCCGCCCCCCCGCCGCCTGCCCGGCCCTCGCCTTCCCTGGGGCCGCGGCGGGGCCGCGCCGCCGAGGCGCCGGGCCGGGGTCGGGCGGGCTCTGCCACCGCGGGCCTCCGCCGAACGCAGGCCGGCGCTTCCTGCTCCAAACGGGCGGGTGTTGGAACGGGAGTGCTCAGCCTTCCTCCCCGAGGCAGGCTGGCGCTGGCGGTGCGGCCCGGGAGCGCTCGGTGCGCTCCCGCCGCCAGCACGTGTGACAGCCGCGGGGAGCCCCGCCGCTGCCCTGCCGCTGCTGCCCGGGGTGCCGGCCTGCTGTGACCTTGGGAAGCGGAGCCACGGCCTCCCCACGCGGGCTATTGCAAGGAGCAGCGCTGCCTTCTGGGTGCATCCCAGTCTTTGGAGACTGCATGGGCAGAGAGAAACATCTGGGGCTGAAATAACATCTGCTTGCAGGGGACTTTGCAGGACCTGTTACACTAACTAATGCTTCTGTATTTCTAGGTTTGAGGTTTGGATTTGCTTTGGAAGTCAGAGAGCAGTTGCTGCCTCGTTCTACCTACGTTCAACTTTTAATATAGTAGTATTACTGCAAACAGGAAAAAAAGGTAGGTACTGATATAATACTAATTTAGTTTTGACTAAGACTTAAATCTTCTGAAAGTGGTAGTGTGCTGATATATCAGACAACTAAACTTCCTTGTCTCTTAAAAGGTCCATATTTTTATAGGCATATACTTTTTGTCCTTCTGCTGCCAAGTTTTCCGTGGGTGATTTGGCATATGCTCCCTTTCAGGACCGGCATGGGTCGATAAGCACTCAGCGTGATGAAAGCAGTGTACATTTTACTGAAAGCAGCCGATTGTTGCTCTCTAGTAATTCCTTTTATTCAAAGTCTGTCTCAATGATTTGGTTTTTTCTGCCCTAAATAAGGAGCAAAACTCAGAGTGCAGTGTGAACACTAATGAGATATATAGGATAGCCCAGCGTAATTTGGTCTTGGAGCCTCCATGTTGAAGTAACACTTGATGTGCCATGCTGTCTGTAACAAAACAGTTAAAATCTGAAGCCACAATTGTGAAATTACTTCTGTTAGTGCCATTTATTGCAAGAGCAATGTATTATTTTGCTTTACACTCATTTAGATTTATGCAACAGATTGGATGGCTAAAGTCACTGAGTGACAGTATTTGGCCTACTGGTGTATTTTTCTAATGTTCAAGAATAATAAATCTGTTTAGAGATAGGCTTTCATAAAGCCTTGGTTGTATTCAAGTGTCTATGTTTCTTGTACAAAGGATATGGTTTATACAATGTGTCTTTCTATAATTCTTTCAAGGTAGCCTACTGGGAATTATGTTTCCCATTGAAATTAGGCCAAAATACATTTTTGGAGGTAACAGGCTTCAAAAGAAGCATTACAGTAGGTAGAGGAGTGAAAATTGTTCTGTTTACTGATGTACTGTGCTTGAAGACAGGCTTAAAAGCCAGTGAGGCACTAATTCACATGTGTATTTGTATGGGTTTTAAGACTCATGCAGCTTTTTGACAGCACTGCCAGACAGCAGCACGGTTCTGAAACAGTGGGAGTCTTTGGCTGAGTTATTTTACCCCAGATAAATAAGCTTGTTTTAACTGTTTGCCCAGTGAAAGTATCTTGATGCAAACTTGAGAACTGAATTCATTTGAATGTTTTATTTCAAAGTGTCACATTTGTATTTCTGCTATCTAGTGCCTTCCTGAGAGACAGAGTGTAATTCTTACTTGTAATATTCTGTTGTGGGGGGGACTTGCACTAGGAACATGACAGCCAGACACAATTCAAGATGTTCATGTTCATTCCCTTTCTACTCCTCTTCTGAAAGCCACCCAATGTATCATCATGGGTAGAATTTTTTTAGCTGTTCTTCACCATGAGGAGAGCAGATTCTGTTTTGTTTATAGGTGAGGAGCTGAGACAAGCATGAAATATTCCAGCTTTAGACACCTGAGGGAAGACTATGCCTCTGTAATCGATACAAAAGTAACCCTCAACACTGTTCCCTGGATGTATTTTTTTGCTTTCATTTGAGAGATCCAGGGAGATAAGAAGCTGGAAAGCCCAAATAAGCTGAATCTAGGCACTGATACTCCAGGAAATCTGCCCAATGCAGCAAAATCAGTCAAAATACAAGTATGCTAAGTCTCATTCATGAGCACAACCATTTTCCATCTCTAAATGGAAAAATGGATCTGAGGGTGTTCCTGTAATGCTTTTGCCTGTCAAGTTATTGTAAACTGTGTATGTTTCATCTTTCTCTTCCCTCAGGAGACAAGTATCTCCATACCTAACTGGAAACGGGAGACTTTGCTCTGAAATAATTGATAAACAAGTGTGAAGCATGAGGATCAACTCTGCTGTTCAGGCTGCTATTGACCTCACAGCAGGTGCTGCAGGTAGGTAATGCTTAATTTCACAAAACTTCTGAGAGGCAGTTTTAATGCCTTTGACAAATAAAAAAGCAGTTTCCAGTTGCTATAAAAACACCCCCTGTGTTTAAGGATATAAGGAGAAGCAGTGACCTCAGCCTGTGTTGTAACAGTATCACTATTGCTCCTCCCTGGCAAAACCCCTGCCACACAGTGAAGAAGACATAACACCTTTCTCGGACTAAACATTTTCTATAAGGAGGTTTAAGTTCTGCTTACATGAGTTTATGAATCAGTCAGAGTATCAGCAGAGTTTTGCAAGGAAGTCAGTGTGTGAGTGATTGAGGCGCTGCTTTTGTCACAGGAACTGTCCCTAACTGAAAGGGACAAAAGGCTGCCTCAGGGGTTTCTGGCTCAGACAACATCCTGGTGTGAATCTCTAAAGCCTGTGAAGCTCAGTAGTAGAACTGATGATGAATTTGCATCATTGATTTCCACTTCAGTCTACTCTGTGCTGTAAAATTTTGCTGGACCAGTTGTGTGGAAATGGTTGTACTTTCTCACTGATATTGCCATGTTGGTCATGTCCGTGGCTCAGGGATGCAATTTTGAACTCTGCCAGGGAAAAGGGGTCTTTTAGACACTTCTAACCTAAGAGTGGTTATATGGAAAAGGTGGAAGATTTGTCTAATTTACTTTTGTAATTAGTTTAGACATTGTTAGTTATTTTTTTTTTCTTTCCCACATAATAAATATTGCAGTCAGTGCTTTTATGGCATTGTTAATGCTGTGAATATGGCAGTATTAATGGTGTTAGGTGCATTCAATGGTAGTTATTTGCAGTAATTTGTCAGAGTGAAGTTTAACAGTGGAGTGAGAAAGAAGGGGTAACAGCACAACCATTATTGTGGCAATCTCTGCACTCTTTAGAAAATGTAATTAAGTAAGCAAACAGCTTGTTCTTCCAGAAAATGCATAACCTGGTTTTACCTTCCTCTCGAGATACAGTCTTGACTACCTGATAAGTAAAGACATATTGAGGCAAGCAAATTCTGGACAAGATTAAATAAGTCATTTGGCTGTCTGTAGTCATAGTCCTTTGCCTAGGATCTAAGCAACCTCTAATACCTTCTTTGATTCAGTAGGACTGTTTTCCCCACCACTGCCACATTATTAGGACCACACTTGTTTGAATGTTCAAACAGATTGAATTTTTGGGTTTCTGGTTTGTTTTAATTTTGTGGTTGGGTTGGGTCCTTTATGACTCTTTACTGCTGGCTGGAAGACTTATTTTTTTCTTAATATTTCAGATAATAACTAGGACTCTTGGTCTTTATCTTGAGGCTTACAAAGTTCATTGTTGCAGTTTACTAGACTTTTTGACCCAACTCCAATAACAGCCTTTTTGGAACAGCCATTCTGTCAACTCCCAATTTTTCAGCCTTACATTTCCAAGACCATTCCTGGTTTCCCTGGACATCTTCCAACAGCTATTATTTTATTACAGGAACCTAGCATTTGTCCTGCAGATTAATATCTACCTGACTTCCCTGCAAATAACTCTGGCTGAGCCTTCCTAGCTCTGCTTTTCATTTGAAGCTTACATGGGTGTTACTGGTCTGAGCCAGCTACTTTTCTCCTTGATTATCCTTCCAGAGTAGGAAACTCTTTGTGTTTCCTTGCATGATTTGCTCTGAAGCTTTTAATGATCCATCTGGTTGGGAAAGAGGTTTTATGGCAGCTAGATCCTGAGTTTCTCTCAAAGGCCTGGAGTACCTCTTTGCAGAGAAGCAAGAACAATGTTATACAAATGTGTTTGCAAAGAGTAAAATGGATTGCAAATAACACTAGTTAAACAAATACTTAACTCTTTTCCCCACTTAAAAGAAAAATAACTAATCTTAATTGGATGCACAAATTTGTTTCCATTTCAGTTGCTTTCCTATCTGTATTTACAGATAATTAAAGGTATGTGCATGTCAATTGTGCTTTGGTTAAAGATCAGCTTCTGTTTTAGTCAAGTTCTCTCTTGCTAAAAAACAAAACCATGAACCCTATATAAGATACACCTATAATGTGTTTCCTGTCAAGTATCTGCTTCTAATAGATTGCTATTGCTGTACACTGTTTCTTACTGAAAAAATGTAACATCAGCTCTTCCTGCAGACTATAGAACTGGTTAGATCTTGCAGAAGAACGCTGCACTGTGAGCAAAATGGTTATTGATGACATTGATGGAAATATCACACAAGTTTTCAGGGCATTGACCTTGCAGTTCAGTTTGGAAAAGATAACATGTTGGGAAACTTTGCCCTTTTGCCCTTTTTCAGCTTACACTTGACACTTGACAGTCTCAGGAAATGTGCTTAAGAGCCACCTGGAGTTTTGAAGTAAAGGCTTTGAGTCTTTGGTTTTCAATTTATTATGTATGATCAGTTTAGCACTCTCAGGAGTGTTCTTCTTGTCCTAGAGGAATCACTTGATTACTAATCTTTCAGGGTTGAGAATTTTTTGTTATTATTAGAATGTAAAATCAGAGATGCCTTCTGAACCACTGCATTAATGGGCAAAGGAAAATATTATTTAACTCATTGACACAAGTGACTTGATTTCAGAACAATACCTCTAATTCAGTACAAGTTTATAAAAGTGAGCTGATTCATTTAGATGCTTGCTTTTCATGAGATAAAAAAATATTTAATGAGAATCGTGATGTTACTGCTCCTTTGCCTGATTTTTTTTTTCTTAAGGTAACTAAATTCACCAGTGACAATTGACACCATTGTGCTACAATCAGTGCACTTGTCTTTTCCTACAGGGAATTAATTAATCTTTGCTTTCTGTGTGATTTTCCTAATACTGGTGCTCCAGCATAGGTGTTGCAGTTGTGATAAGCTGCAGCCACTGTTAACTTCCACTGCTTGCCTAGGTGGGACAGCCTGTGTGGTGACTGGCCAGCCCTTTGACACTGCAAAGGTGAAGATGCAGACATTCCCCAACATGTACAAAGGACTTGTTGACTGTTTTGTCAAAACCTATAAGCAAGTGGGATTTCGAGGCTTCTACAAGGGAACCACACCAGCACTTGTAGCCAACATTGCAGAGAACTCCGTTCTGTTCATGTGCTATGGATTTTGCCAACAAATTGTGAGAAGAATTGTTGGAGTAGACAGGAAAACAAAGCTCAGGTTAGTAATAAATATCTGGTTTGTATTTTAAAATAAGTAAGTATATATAATTTAATGCAATTGCTATTTGCCAGTACTGTACTGTCAGGTGCAAGTGAGGTCCCAGGCTCTCCTCTGACAGTGTAAGTGTAGTCAATTTTGGAATATAGGCCTTAGTGTGACAACATAGTGTCTAATATAACAGAGCTGTCTACTAACCAGTCACTGCAGCTGACTGGTTTAGATGATCACAGCTTAACTTGAGTATTCAAGACCGGGAACATTTTTACCAAGAGGATGAAGCATTTCAACACCTGAAAGTTTGTATTCCTTTAATATCAGGTTGTTCTGATATTGCAGGGGGCTTTTGTTACAAGGAGGCATACTAAGGAAGAAGGGCACTTTTCTAATATTGTCTTGCTTTTAAAAATGTATTTATTTAAGGTTCAAAAGCTTGCTCACCCTACAAACCCCCTTACCTTTTCCTACCCATTAAAATGTAGGAAGTAGGCCCACCAGCAATATGTTTCATTTCTTCACTGTCTTTTTTGATCATCCTGGGAGCTAGACCACAGATGTGCAGATGTCCTAGGATCACCTCACATGACTGAGGCACCATGGTCATGCTGGATGTAGGGAAGGTAGTGCAGGAAACTTTGAAACAGTATATTGGTGTACTACTCTGTCTTTGGAGTTGGATACAGAATGGGAATGTGAGTATGTAGCAATAGCAAGCACCTTTGGCATCTGAAAATTCCTTCCTTGGTCAAGTAATGGTGCTTTTCAGATCCAAGATGCCTTGTTGATTCAAGGTCAAATAGTGTGACTGAAGAGCTGTTCTGGGACAAAACATTAAAGAATTTAAGTTTACTTGAAAGATTGTCCCTTGGTGATGTTTTCTTATTCTCTTCATCTGGATCATTGTGGGGGCACCTTATGAGACACAAGTAAGAGAGAATTGTATTGACGTGGTCTTCAGCAGGGCCCTGAAGAGAACATGTGGTCTGTCCAGGACATCCCCACCCATTGTTACTGTACTGTTACACCTTCAGAAAAGGACAAACTATAAAACATTTTTCAGTTAAAGGAATACATATCACTGATGCATAAGTCACAAAGAAAAGACATTAAGAGAGAAATGCTAAATTCCGTTTCTCTTTTAACATATGCTTAGTTTAACCAACAGATTTCATCATAAAGTCTAAAGTGAGACAACAAATTGGAAAGTGCTAAATTCCATTGCTGCTCTGCAGGCAGTTTCTGATACCTTCCACTTTGAAAGTTCTCATTACCACCATATCTGAATGTCATGAGCTTTGCTTCATGTCATAACTTGAGTTTTGTGATGCTTCAAGATGAAAAATAGTAGCTTTAATCTCTCATACCATAGATGTATCAAACTGCTGGGCATAAGGCAACATCTCCCTTGGATGGAAAGAATTTCTGTGCTGCAGTGAGATCAGTCTCAGCTGTGCTGACTCCCCAGGTTCTGAAAGCAAAGCTCTACTTCTATGCTATTATGCAGCTCCTGTCCAAAACACCAGGCTCTGTAGGAGCCTGTTTAAAATGCATCATAAAGCAGTGTTGCTCCCAAGTACCAGCCTTTTGAGTCCTTGCAGTTTAGCAACGCAGAATCTGTGGTATGTGTAAAATCACCACAAAATAAGCCCCAGTTCTGGAACACTGAGTCACTGCAGATGACAGTGCTGTCTTGTCTGGTGGTGTGGTTTGTTTGTGCTGTCTCTGATTCACATGGTTGCATTCATAGCAGCACATCCCTACAAAGATTACAGTGATCCATTGTGCCTGCTTTCAGTTTTCTAGCATCTTCCACTGCAAGCCTTTATTAATACTGCTAAGGTGAATTTGAAAATACTGACATCTATCTATATGAGGTGACTATTGCTCCTATTCTCTTTAAGGAAGAGAAGTAATAAGTAACCAAAAGTTGCCCAGTAAAACAAGTCTATGGAAATCTTCATAAGTGCTATCAAATCTTCCCTTCCTGGCTTTTACTCTGCTCCAATTACTGAAGTATAGCAAAAAGGTTAGAGGTTGCAACATATCTCTTTGGTGTCAAAAAGGTGTCTTCAGTTGTATAAGAATATGGGATGAGCTAGGTTTTTCCTCCCTCTGGTTCAAGTAACTGCCCTTTGCCCTTAAGAATCTTTCCCCCAAGACTGCCAGTTTTTCTTGATGGTATTTAGGGTACAGAGCAGGAAGCTGACTGCTGGTGCAGTGGCTCCACTGCACTGAAGGTCAGTGCCCAAATACCTTCTGCAGTTTCTTTCTTGCAGTGATCTACAGAACGCTGCTGCAGGCTCCTTTGCCTCTGCCTTTGCCACCCTTGTCCTCTGTCCCACAGAGCTGGTGAAGTGCCGGCTACAGGCCATGCATGAAATGGAGTTGTCAGGAAGGATAATCCAGGGACACAAGTAAGTATAGACCCAGCTCAATGTCCCTGAAACTTTTTCTTGTGTATTATTTCTTCAAATCCTCTATTGGCTCAGTGTCACATTTATAGTGCACTGCTAACCAGAGAGGAGTTGTGGCTGTGTCAGAGCCTGCTGACCTTCTGGGTGCTAGTAAAGCTGGATGCCAGTGAAGGGCTCCCAGCAGGATCTTGCTTTAAGTCTTATATGAATTCAATTGTTTGCACAATAGCTTTCCCTATTACATGTTGCTGCAGTTGCCTGTTGGTCTTTAACTTCTCATTATCTGGCTAGTAAGTATCACTAACTGGGTCAACCTCTCTCAGTACAGTTTGGTCAGTAGTGAAGGGTGTTATCCAAAAGGATGGTCCCCTTGGATTCTATCGTGGCCTGTCAAGCACTTTGCTGCGGGAAGTCCCAGGCTATTTCTTCTTCTTTGGAGGGTATGAACTGAGCCGGACATTCTTTGCCTCTGGGAGATCAAAAGATGAATTAGGTATGGTGCCTTTTTTAAAGGTAGGTTTTAGCATGCTGTCATGGGAGACATAAAGGGGGGCATACCTTCCCTGAAGATATACTAATACTGTTGTAAAATCCATGCAAAATGAAGGAAATTAGGCATACTAAATATGGAGGGCTGTGTCTTGTGTATACACAGTAATAAATTATTGAAGTGACCATTTTCCAATGAAGCAGTTTGTGTCATAGAGAAATTACACAGTGAGCTAACACTACACAACTGCTGAAATATCTGACCCCACAATGTAACACAACTCTGAACTATTTCATATCAGCTGCCATTCAGAGTGATTTTGAAGTATTTAGCTGCATTCTCCTGAACAGTATGTTCAAGTATAGGCTGAGCTGCATGCTGACTATTAGGTGTAGTTACAATGATAGTAAGAGAACACTGAGATTGAAAATTAGAGATGAAAAAAAACATGGTGATGCCAGAATAAAGATTGCCTGTCTCCTGTTAAAAGACTGAACCAGTCTTGCTTGGAGTCAGGATTTCAGCTGCATGCATTTTGGACATGTAACAAAACACAAACATCTGATCTGAAATACAAAAAAAGGGCATATAATGAAAGAAATGACTGATTACAAAATAACTCTACTGTACCAAATTCTCTATATATGATTAGTAACACTATATGATGTTAATCTAAACCATTTCACAATTAACCTTGGAAAGTGATTACAAGTGTTAAAAAAGTGAACTTAGTTAATACAATCAAAATTGAATTCTGAGTTACAGTTTTTTAACATGGCAAATAATCTAAGAGGCACTCTTTATAATCTTTGGGTTTCTAGTTAAGACTTGCAATTTACCAGTGGCTTGAAATTAACTTAAAGTTTAGAGAGAGAATAGCAACTGCTGTTTTGTCATAAGCAGCTTCCTCTGTTCCCTTTGAATCCTGTAGATTAAATAATGTTATATTTGTGTTGGTGAATACTGTGGTGTATAAAAGTATGTTTCTTAACTTTTAGGTCTCATCCCTTTGTTACTAAGTGGAGGTTTTGGAGGCAGCTGTCTGTGGATTGCTGTGTATCCTGTGGACTGTGTCAAATCTAGAATTCAGGTTCTTTCAATGGCTGGAAAACAAGCAGGCTTTATGGGAACATTTGTAACTGTTGTGAGAACTGAAGGTGAGTATCCAAGCAGATCAACAGAATCTATAGGGCTGCAGACTGACATCTATACCCTCCAACACCCAAAATCAGCTAAGAAACCTAGTCCAGTGATAATGTGTTAGAGACAGACAATAACTGTTTCTAGCAAGCAAATACCTACTTCATGTAGTGTGGAAAGCTTGGAATCTAGAAACTGAGACCTACTTCATCTTCCCTGCCTCTTGGTTCAGGAGACGATTCACTTAAACCTAACAGAAGCATTACTATGCATTAAAAGCAGATAAAGAAATGGGCTCTATTACTTGTGACCAAACCTATACATGAAACCTGAAGGAACTAGTTAAGTTCCATGCAGAAGTTTTCTTCACCTCTAGAAGTTAATATATGATTGAGGATTGATTTATCAAACAGCCCTATCCAGCCTGGCAACTTGAGGCATCTACCTCAGCATCTCCTCTCTGGAAAACGCATGTGTCAGGCACTTTGGAAGAGGGTCTAAGAATATACATGGCAGCAGACATGAATCCTGACCCCATTGCTAGGTAAGATATTCATCAGAACTGGAGTCTGACTTGGGGCACAGCTTTAATATAGTCTTGCTGCCCCCTTGCCAGCTGTGGTATAGCCATTGTCAAGTTATCTAAGCTGGCCAAGACCTTGTCATACCTGAAATAAGCATCTAGCATAAGCCCTTACATGGCTTAATGGGACATTTGATACTCCCATATCAATATCCAGTACCACTGCAATCAGTAGCCACACCAGTGAGTTCAGCTCTCTGTTCTCTAGGCAAAAGCATTGCTTCAGTATCCTTCACAGGTAAGAGCAGAGTGGTTGATGCAGACAGCCACTTGAATAAAGTGCTAACTGGCTCTGGTTTCGTTTCTAGGCGTGCTTGCCTTGTATTCTGGACTAACGCCAACTATGATCCGTGCATTCGTGGCCAACGGGGCACTGTTCCTTGCCTACGAGTACAGCCGGAAACTTATGATGAAACAGATAGATTCTTACTGATACCGCCTAGCAAACGAAGAACAAGAGATTGTTTAAGGGTCATTTAAATAAATGATGAAAAACACGTAGATCACATGATGGTCTGAGCAGAACCAAATCAGTGACCTAATTTTAGGAACTCAACTCCAGTTTAAGATTTGTAATCTTTTAAAAATCAGGTGATTTTATGGAGGTGTGTATATGTTGCTTGAATTGCACAAGCAGAACTATCTCCCTCTTACAGATTCTGCACTAGGTACACTGCATGTCATAAATGTCTTTCCCGACCTGTACTGGTGCTAAAAATATTTACATTGACCTGTGGGATTTAATGTAACATGCAAGAGTAGGTTGTGAGTTGTCTACAGCAAAGCACTGGTTTTAAAACTGTGCTGCAATTGTGACCTTTTGCAGTTGTTGCTGATGTCTGACTCAAAATAACATCAGTTCTGGCCTAATCTTGGTGAATATAGATGACTTGGACATGCCCCTCACCCAGGGAGACCTTTCCTTCTCCAGCTACACCCCTGTCCTGCTCTGGCTCCCTGCTGCTTTGTGACTTGCTAAGGTCATGGAAGAGGGTGTCCTGACTTATGTACTCTGTCCTAGTGAATGGGTTTATAAAAGTAGGAAACATTCACCCCCTACTTTATATGAGACTTAAAGCCGAAGATATGCCTACATTTTTGATAAAAGCACAGTAACAACATTAAGGCTATGCTGCACTGCATCCTTTCAAGAAATGCTGGAGTATGCTAAGCACCACTTAACATAAGGAACACTGCTGAAAATAGCTGCTGCCCCTGAGCACAGCATTGTGACTTTGTGCAGGCTCCTGTTTAGATCACCTTGGCACTAATGAGGCCACATGCTGGAAGGACAGGAAGCTGAAGAGGAACAGAAAGCCAGAACTGAGTGGTTAACTGACACCATGGTCTCTGACATAGCAGTCTTACTGGGGCTGGAGTCTTGCCACTTGCTGTGCCTCTTCAGCTGAGTGGAAAAAGCTCATATGACTGGATAGCTTGTATCACCTTCAGGCCTGGAGGGCATGGCCTGCTCTGTCATGTTATTTGATGAAATATGCAGTTAGTCAGCATTACCCAAAATGATGCAGTGACACCTCTCTCTAGATGCCCCTTTTGTTCTTAAAGTAGAATGTTCTTTCTACAAGCATGTTCTGCTTTGTGAGAAGGAGCTACTGCCTTATCCTGGAATAAGTTGAGCAGGTCTTAGAACAGCACAAACTTGTCCCGAGTTGTACAGAGATGCTGCCTGGGTGCTCTAAGTGCAGCCCACCAGTGTGGGGGTAGTGGGGGGCACAGACAGAGCCCTTTAACTCACTGAGATCATCACAGCTACATGGAGATTAGCAGCTTGTCACAGCAACCACATTTGTCAGTGACAGACAGAGCTGGAACAACCTAATTTTGCATGTTACAGCTTCCCTTTCAGATCCCAGAAATAGGAACAAGCTTTAGGCATAGATGAAATCCCCTCAATACCTGCTGCCTCTTGCAGTGGAGCCAGGGTGCACTTAAACTGGCTCATTCCTTGCATAGTTGCAGCCTCTTTGATGGAAGGTCGTTGCTGCAGTTCCACAAAATCTTCTTGCTCCTCCAGCCTCCAAGTGCAGAAAGAACAATTCATGTCCCTTTCATACACCACGAGAAAAGGCAGTTAAAGCAGGGCATGGCTGAAGAATCTTCAGTGTCTACTGCACCAATACAGCTTGACTGACTGGTACAATAGGGGCAGCACTACTCTGCATTGCCAGTACTTTAAAAGGAATTTATACCAAATGTTTAAATGATTCAGGCAGGAGGATGAGGCTTTAAGAGTTGTTAGACTTCCCCTTCTTTTTAAAGTTGTCTAGCTAAGAGAAAGAGTATATTTGTACACGTTTCTAGTAGTTATGAAAAGGTGAGGACAGACTCCACCTCAGTGGAATACTTCAATCTATTTCTTAGATTTGTCTTTGCTTTCATTTTTTAAAGCTCATGGTTGCAGTTTTTAGTACAAAAATTGAAGCTTCAAGAGAAGCAGGGTATTTAAAACAACCAACAGCAAGAAGCTGGTGGCATTTTTGAGATTTTACCTTCTGAAGTTGATGTAAGCAGTAATTTTTCCATTCAGAGCTGCTTAAGCTGTACACGTGTATCAGTTGTTCAGCTAAAAACTTCATGATGTTGGTATAGGAATTCACAGAAATAAAGTTTCATTTGATTAACTGGGTACCTGACGATTGTTTATGCCATTTAAGAAGCTCATCTAGCTGAGAAACAAAAAGGTTGAATTCAGCATCACCACCTTTCTGGAATGAAAGAAAAAGACTTTATACAATCAATGAACATATAAAGCCCTCAAAAATGAGGGGAAGGAGGCAGCTAGAGTAAGATGCTGTGAAACAACTTCTGATTTTACATCTATGGAAAATGAAACCTATAGTTCAGCACTTGGCCTGTTGCTTTTTTAGTACCAAAGTCAGTTCTAGTATTAATGTTCACCTCAAATTTCAAGATACTAGATTACCACGATACAGGCTGTAAGGTTTCCTGTCAGAAGAATGCCAGGAGTTCAGCACAGGTCACCTAAATTCCACAAATATAAGGGACAAATATCCACTACCCTGTGAAGGTCAGTGCAGCAGGGAGGCAGGGTCCATTGTTATCCTCTTCTGAGCAGTGGTACCTCACAAGAGAAACATTGTATATCCCTTCTACAGCTATTTTGTTCCTCATTCCTGCTTTCACATTAGTTTTCACTTAACTGCATGTGCTTCAGCTAGGAAAATCTGACTTGGTGCTACAGCCTCTGCTGCTGCTATCTGAACAAACTGGCTCACTCCCTAAGCAGGAAGATGGGTCACCTTAGGTGCCCTGCCAACTACATCAAAGGGCATCCTAGGACAGGGGACAGATATCCAATTGCCTGAGTTAAGCCAAAATGAACTTGGGCATCAGCCACTAGTAGCTGCAATGAAAGGGCATCCTTTTTTAGCCCCTAGCCACATTCACGTGGACACTGAGGTAAAGACATAGCAGTAGCAGAAGTTGAGCCCACACATGGTATACCTCATAGTACATAACTACCTTTACCTTCAAGTAAGCACAGAGGTATATGACCTCTGCTTATTTCATTAACTGGAAAGCTATGTCATTTCCCTTCCACTTTTTGGCTGCCAGGAACAAGACTAATGAAGCAGCAGAACCAAGAAGCTAACACCTCAACACATGTCACAAAAATGAAGGCACAGTCTCCACAGAAGAGCTGCACTGCTGAAAATAGTTGGAAGTAGAATAAGCATCCTGGAAGTTTGTGCATTACAGGTCTTAATGCAACTCAAGAGGAGCCAGTGAGCATTCTCACTATTTGCTCAAATGAGCAGGTGCACAGATCCAACCCCTCATATGCAGGTATTAAGGCAGCCACACTAACTGATCCCAGGCAGCTGGAATGCTCAGCAGCTGATGAGAGCCAGTCTTAAGCCTTAGGGCAAGTGGCCATTGCAGCCCTCTGTGGAGAGGTACAGCAGTAGAAAAGCAGCTGTGCAGTCTCCAACCTCCACAGGCAGCTCCCAGGCCAGGTGTTGCTCAAAGCACTACATCACTGATTACTGATGAAGAGCAGTTCAATACCAAGACTTCTGCTCAAGAAGCAATAATCCAACAGAGGGAGATTAATATTTCTCCCTCAAAATTCCCATATTCTACTGATTTGTGGAAAACCCCATTATTGAGGGAATCATGTCAGGTTTTACCAGTCTCATGCAGACTGCTGGTCTTCATCCACCATCACGTTAGTTCTCATGCTTAAAGACAGGTAATTGTCTTTGATTACTCAAACAAGAATTAGCTGTATGCAGAGGCATCTAAGCTCCAGGAATCCAACAGCCCATGACGTGACAGTCAACTGACCTTAAGTAACTCTTCAGAGTATTTCGGCCCCACACAACAGAACTTCATGTAGCTTTATTTGACAAGTTGTACTTAGTGTATTTCTGTGTAGAGACATCCAAGTGACACTGCTTCACTTTATACTGAAACAGACATTCTCCACGAAAGAGATGAATTTTACATGTTTTCCTTCTTTCAGATTTCCCTTATGCATCAATAAAGTTCACCTCCACAGCAAATGTCTCACTATAAACTTTCCATGTTTTAGACTTGTGAGGGTTATCCAGCTCATTCCTGGGAAGGTAGAGTCTGAAAGACAAAATTCAGTACCATATCTTACAGCCTAAGACATGCTTTTCCTTTTAGCCAGCTGAAAAATCTTCTAGCTCAGCCCTAGAATATTAAATCCAGCCCCAGCTCCTGAATTTAAACAGACATCAGCCATGCTTGCACAGTGTTTTGTATCTTAAGTCGTCTCAGAAACAAAGGCAACCTAATGGGTTTGTGGATTGGCTCCCCATCACCCCCCCAGAGCCCCACAGTGCAAGACAGAGAGAAATTAATACTGCATTCAACTCAAGGCCTCCTGATATGATGCAAGTGCTAGGAATTTAATAACCAACCTTCCTAAAGGCAAGGATTTGATTCAGTACTCAAAAGGTAGCCTAGTGGGGCATCATCCATAGTTCTGGAGGAAAGAAAGCTCTTCAGCAAAACCCTCAAGATGGCAGCATTGCAGGGCCATCAGACAGCTGGCATACATCTTTCCTGGCACTGGCTTGGTTTAACTGGTCTGCATCAAGACAGCAAGGTGCATGGCTGGCTGAGCATATTAAGTTAACTGTTACAAAGAGACTCATGGCTACCTCTCCTCAGGCTCTAACAGGATCAGTTAAGTAAAACCTGTCTTCTTTCTATTCCAGTCATGGAGAACACAGTAATTATATCTCCTATGCCAAGTTTACTGTTCTTCTACCTAAATCTGTCAAGCAAGGCACACCACAGATAAGGCTCTCTTGTCTCTGCATTTCTACATCACTCCCAAAGCAAGGCAGACAAGCCCAACTTTCACCAGCTGGAGCTTCTCCAGGAGTTCCAGTCTCTGCAAGCAAAATCACAGTAATTTCTAACTTTATCAAGAGCATGAGAAGCCATAAGAAGGCCTTTCTTTGTGATCCCAAGCATCAGT